CTATCTTCTCTTGCTGCAGTGATATTAAATGATTCATCATCTTGAATTAATCTTTTAAATCTGTGTGTCTGTGGTGTAGCACGCAGGTTTTTCTGTTGTCTCAAAAATATATTTGTGGCTGTACAGTACCTGCATGGTAAATGCTGCGTTTAGTCAAACAGTCTCCAAACAGATGGCCTGATTATTTCAAACCCATCTGAAAAGTGACAGTAGTCAGACATTACTGCTCAAAGGCAGACAAATCATAGTAAGCAAGGTGCTGTTTGGAAATGTGTTTTCTTCTGTTTGTTATTTTAGAAATAAATAGCTTTATATGAGGTTTTTTTATGTATAAACCCTGTTTCCAGAAAAGTTAGTATTGCTTTCTAAAATGAAAAAAAAAAACATCTGATTTTGTGTATTGCCATTTTCAATGCAATTTTAATTAAACAAGAAAAAGAGAAAAAACAGTCCTCTCATGCTAACTCAAACAAGCTTAATTTTATTCACAATTAGATTTATTATTTATACACAAATTAAAAAGACTGATTTTTTCTTTTAATTTAAATTAAACATTTGAAATAAGATTACCAACTGTGTCACATTTGCAGTTGGATGTTTACCCATTTCAGCTCTACAAGGGCTAGCCTGTGTAAAGGCTTTTGGTCCCTGTGTTGTGTTTCTCTTATATTCACTGCATCAGACCATCACCTTTGGAGACAGCTCTGGATTGAAGACAGGAAAGTCATCTACTTTAAGTCTGTGAGACCTTTGCTTTTGTATGAATTTGCGAAACGAAGCTAAAAAGCTGCAAGGGAAAATACAGATGTCTCTACACACATCAGAATTATTGAATTGCAAATCCATGGACTCATGATAGCTAATGAACCTTCATACATCAGAGTTTTTGTAGCCGGATGACCCCACAAAGAACCCAAACCCTACAAAGGAATAAGCGGTGGATAATGGACGGATGGACTCACTAAAGGTCAGGGATATTCTAGATGAATGTGCATCCACCTGTAGGATTACCTTTAATCCTAAGGAAATAATTTGTTGTCTGAGATATTATTTCTAATTTATGTTAAATATGGCTGGTCTGCGTTTGTATGCAAATGATCTCTACAAATAATTTCATTAACCTTTTCGATTAACAAAATGTCCCAGATGTAGAGTTTAGTCTTTTGCGATCACAATATATCATTGATGATAAGATAATTATATAAATAGGATAATTATAATAGAATAAGAAACAGACAGAGTTATCATTAATACACTGTCCTTTCACACAGAGTGGTTCCTCTTCTTATTCGGTGAATTGAATAGAAACAGGCCACCATTTAGTTATTATTTTGTTGCTCATGCAATTAAGTTTTTGAAAAATGCTTATGTACTTTTGCAGTACTGTGGTAATTAGAGGGGGGGGGGGGTATTTTGCAGACAAGGCATTTTACCTGATGCCCTCAAAAACTTAAAAGAATTACAATCGGCCATTAATCATTTGCATCTCTTCTCAAAGGCATGAAAAAAAAAAAAACATCTTCCTTTTACTGTTAAAAGCCAGTAAAAAAAAAAACACAACCCAGAGGTGACCCACTAATGGGTTCCTATCTATTATTTCTGAGTTCCCTGCTGTGCTGCTCAGTGCTTGCTGGTTGGTTTAAAACCATTCCTGCAGACAGCACCTCACTTTAAGCCTCCTACCTGTCACCCAGATGCCGTCCTAACTTATTTCACACTCGAGTCGTCTCTCAGTGTTATTAATAATTGCTGCTTTTTAGCTTTTTTTTTTCGATGCTTAAGTCTAACCCTTGAGTGTATTAACAGTAAATCTTGTTTTTTCAGTCCTGTCACTCCATCTCAACTGAACAAACTGCATCCCTACTAAACATCGGGTATGCCAGAGAGCAAATACAATTTTGCATCTGTAAGTTCGTTTGTGGGTCATTTCTGTTCCTCTAATCTTTCAAACTGAGAAACCTTTTTACTTGCTCTTATATTTATTTTTTTTACATTAGTATTTTCAAAACTGCCAGAATTGCAAGGTTTTCTTAACTTTGTTGTGATTTTTTTTTTTTTTTTGTTAGTGGTTATTGATTTGACAGAGTTTAAGGTTTTGACACTGATTGTGTTTAAAATGGCATTATGTGGACAATGATAAGGACACCTGGACCAGTCTTTTCACAGTGTTGCAGGACTCATCACTCCATAAATAAATCAACACACCGTGGACAGATTCGGTACCTCGGAATCATGTGAAGACAGAAGATATGCCCAGCTGATATTCAGCATCTATACCATGATCTAATCACAAACTGCAATCCAACACCAAGCTGAGCTCAGCAGCCAAGCTGCAGAGATGACAATAAACGAGATCGGTAGCCAGAGAGACACAATTAAGAATCTAAGGTTGGGATGAATGTAAGCTCTGCAGAAAATACTAATGTGCCTTATAGACCATAAACAGCCTGAGTCTTCCATGATTAACACTACAAACACTATAGAAGAGACACTAGGATTTAATAAGCCATTAGGAAATGTGTGAAAGAACCACTGAAATTACTGAGGCTTTAAAACCACTCAAGTCCGAAATGTTTATCATAAAAAAAACATTTACCATTGCATTAGATTAGGAAAATAACCAAATAAAAAGTGCACAAGTTGAAAACAGGTTAGAGAAAAACACTGTTATGTGAACGAGGCTCTGCTCAGATAACGTTGTTTAAGAAATTATATAATTACCAGAAACATGTCTTAACAGCCTAAAAACAAGCCTAAACAAATTTGATCCGAAAAGTATTTGGATATACACTAAGCAGCACACTTCATAGGATTTACTCCGGGAGTTCACTCCCCATTTTTATTCTGATGGCTGTGCCAGCAGTGGGTGAATGGGTATGACAGATGTCTGATTTAAGGAAGCACTGCATATAGATGTGCTGCATAAATGTGCAAGTGAAAAAGTCTGAATGGTTTAGAAAGACTAGAAAAAGTACACTATATATATATATATATATATATATATATATATATATATAATTTTTCTATCCACCATCTGCAGCACTTGCCCTCATCTTCACAAAAAAAAGCTTCATCTCGTCACAGTAAACAACTTGAGCGGACACTGTTCCCACGTGTGAAGTGTCAATTACTGGACGTCCTTGTCTTTGTCAACCACTGCGATCCACAGGAGAATTTTCCATTCAATAACCAACTGAGCTACACACTGGTCAGTCAACATGTACGGTATGACAGCTATGAGAAAAATGAAATAATAATAAAAAATGCTACGCTTGCAAAAACAATTCTGATTCCATGACAAGCTTTTAAAAAATATACTCAACAGTAATGTGAGGCAGCAGAGCCTGGTGTCTGAGTATAGGGGACATCTATTGCTGATATAACTACATCCACAGCAGGAAGTAGTGTTGCACAGGTCCAACATATCCTGGAGCAAAATGACTCAATTGTAGTTTCATCTCCTGGGGCCAGGGCCCAGGGAGGCCAGGGGGCTGATGAGGCTTGAGCCTCTGTTTTAGAGTGCTGTTCAAATTACATGTCTAAAAGCCACAGAACTCAGCTAAAAGACCCCAAACATCAACAAATCAACACAATCCATCCTCCAAAGGATGCAAACCCTTTGCAAAGGTGTGCAAAAGGAAGTGAGAAAAAGTAACACCATTAGAAACCAGCATTTGTGCTAATGTGTGTCAACCACAAAAGCAGACAGTGGTTGACAGTCGCAGCAGAATCACAGCAGGACAAAGGATAGCACACAGGTAATTTAGAGGGAAAATACTGCCAAAAAGCACAGTTGGTTAAAGTCACAGATGGCCTGCAGTAGAACATGAAAGGAGAACTTCAGTCCAACATAACAGCGTGGACCTGTGACTGCAGGTCTACCAACACACCGTGTCTGTGACAAGCTACAGTAATCCTGCAGATTACTGTGCAACGTGAACAAGTTCGTTACAAGATTTTGTATGTTTGCAATACCTCCGTCATCGTGATCAAACACTTTGAATGTTGTGCTTGAAGTCACATACCTTTGTTTCTATCTGTGGGTTTCAGTAATACATATGTAAAGAAATAGGCTAACTAGGATAAAAGCTGTCCATCAAACGACATTATCAAGGACCTGTATAACCAGTCAGACTCGGACTGGAGTTGACAGGAAGTGCAGCAAGTAGCTGAGACCCCTGAACCCAGCACCACGTCCATCCTTTTGAAAAGCCCCGGGAGAGGAAAAAAATACGGTAGTGATGATCATAGCTGGTGTGAAAAGATGAAGGCACCTCAGCTCCTCTGCTCTGCTTCACTGTTTGGACAAGTATTAGGGAAACTGCAGCCTCTGACTTCTTGTACAAACACTCAGTGCTATGTTACACACTGAATTGGTGTCACATAAGAAACTGTATTATGCTGCAATGCAGTTGTATTGATATTTAAATCATGTTAGGATGTGAGGGGCAGCCAAAGCTGGGCTGTGTTTGGAAACAACAAAGAAAAACTATGTTTGTGTCGGACCACTAGTTCTAATTTATCAAAGCTGACAGGGTTTAGTGACTAGAACAGCATCACTGTGTGTTAAAAACTCCAAAATGTACCAACCTAAATCAGAGTGATAGACCATGTGACACCCAAGAGCACAACATACGTAGTTGTCACATTAATTACCTTTCAATCCCCACGACAACTGCAATAATAATAATAATAACGATTATTATTTCACTAAATGAACACCAAACATCCACATCAGTGCTTCTTTAACTCACCTCAGCTATGCAGTGACCATTAACCGTGCCATAAAGAGCAATGCACACCAGCACCTGCCAACGTTTTTCCCATAGTATAAACATAACCACGGCAATATAATTTAATTCACTTCACTTCCAAACGACTTATCTAGTCTCACTAGAGGTAATAAGGGAACAGCAGCGTGTTAAATTGTGCGTCAGGAAGACTTACACTTGTAACATGTATCACATGTACAGACAGCCAAGGTGTGTAACAAGTCTTACCTTCACATACAGACGGATGTAGAAATGTAGAAATGTGGAAACCCTCCTGCAGCAGCTCAGGTGTTCTCTTTAAAGATAAGTCCTCGGCTCCGGTCCACTCAAACTCCGAGTTTTCCAAAGTTTGGTTTTATAAATTCGAAATAAAAACACTCTATTCTCGCAGTTTGAACACGAGTTTACCGTCTTACTTCACTTTCACAACAACGCTACTAAAAAAACAACGTCAGCTTAACCGCAGCTGAAAGTTTAAAAACAAAAATTGAATTTTAGTAAACCACATGATGGCCGCCAACACACTGAGGTGTGTTGCCAGATGCCGCGATAAAAACAAGCAAATGGTTAAACAAATAATACTGCACATTCACCAACTCAAAGTGCAGGATAGTGAGGCCACTTAGTTAATACGTTACTGCATTTATTTGGTATTTCCTCTGAAACCTTTACTAAAATAAATACTATTATTAACCACCAAAAGCAGTCACCTGAATATAAGTTGTTTTAATTGCCCCTGCCATATAAAATGATGTATTGTTTGGATAGTGCTAATACATACTGTATATTCAAGTGTGGAACTTGTTTGTTTGCAAACAACAACATTCTCTTTTCTTCAAAACTATTGATTACCTTAATTTTTTTAATAGTTTACTTTACCATAGTTTACTCTACTTATAACAAACTCTACAAATACAACAAATACGAATACAGTCAATACATTTTTTTAATTAATGGAGTTAGTTGTTCTTTTTTTGATACTTTGGCCATGTCATTCCCGTGTATGTTTGCGTAAACTCATTTACACATTCACCCATGAATCAATTTGATTTGGTGGTGTTACCCGTGTTTCCAAGGGGAAATGGGGAGAGCGAATAGCATAATATTTTTTTCCAGTGATAATAATATACCACTAACAAATATGAACTAATCAGAAGCAAAGTAGTTTGGGTCATGTCTTTGACACCCTGCTGCTAATAAGCAACAACACTTTAAAAAACAAACAAACAGAGCCAAACAGTGTTTTAGCAAATTCATTAGGCCAAAGTCATTTGCGGACCTAAAAATGCTGACCTGATATATACCCATACTGATGAAATGTTGGGTAAGTTGACCTCAACAATTGTCAACTGCTCCCTGACCTGTTCTTTTCACTTTCTCTCTGCTTCAACTTGCCTGCTCAGTACTGGCAGTACTGACACATGCTGTGTCTCATTTAAATGGCTGCAACCGGTTGAGACTAAGGCCTATTGTGTTCACGCAGTCTGTGGAGGGCAGACAGGCCCAGACGACTTAGAATGCAGGAAAACAGCAGTCACAGTGTTGTAAAACACTCTTTTCTATTTGTCTTGTCAGTGGGAAGTGCAGTAAGGTTTTTCTGAAAAACCAACTTGAAACCATTCCAGTTGCAAAACAAAACAAACCCGAGCATCAGCACTGGGGTGCAGCAGACAAACATAACATTATGTGAAATTCTGTGCATAATAAGAGGACAGCAACAAAAGCACAAGCAACAGTTGGAAGCAATATAATACCCACCTAAACTAATACCTCCGCTTCACTTTTAGACAAAGAGTGAAATAAATAATCAATTAAAACCTGTTGTAGTGGAAAATTATAATCTTTCTAATAATGAAATTTGTTAGTCTGCATAATACATGACTTTTCAAAAAGTACCCAGTGGTACACTTGCAGTGTGTGGCCTAGTTTCAATTATTTTAGCAGAAATATTTCCAAGTGTAAAAGAACTGGAATTTAATTTAATCTTAAGAAATAAAATTTTATTATTATTAAAACATGTGAATGTCTTGTATTATGAATAAATAACACATATTTTACTTTATCATTCTTATTATTATGAAAAAAATGTTCTGGATTCCAAAGAAGAGGAGAGCATATTACTAACTTATTATATTATGATTAAGGTTCATCATATATAACCTTCCTTGCACTAGTTTTTTCTTAAAATTATGAAATATTTGCTTGTTTACTCCAGGAATCATTTCTGTAGACAATGATGCAGTTGCTGATGCGCTCAATCTGACACACACTGGATTTAGGACATTTTACACCGTGTAGCCGTCACCTTTAGGAGCTTACCCAGTCGGAGAAACTATAGTTGGATTCAGTAGCTGCATTCCTCAGTGCTGACGAATTTGGACAGGCCTACACAGCCTATAGTTTCTCACTCTGATGGATGTTGACAACTTCTAGAAGAAATGTAGCCAAATTTGGGTTCAGCCTTGTAAATAAGACACAGCAGCAGAAGCACTGCAGTGACACGGTAGCAACAGCACCACGCCCACTCCAGCACTGTGTGGATAGTGGGTAATGAGTGATTGGTGTGACTTTGGAGTGGCTTCCTTTCAACCAGAAACACAGACTTTAACATGCCTATGTCTTAGTGGACACAACTAAATGTGACATATTTTAACCCGTCACCGTAGTAACAGTGTGTGGGGACGATGCCACGCTCAGTGCACCTCAGTGGGACCTTAGATTCTAACCTGCGACTTTTCTAAACCCAAGTCTGTTTCCTTAGCCACCCAGCTAATACTTCCCTAATGATAACTAACGTCGTCTTATTTTTTCAGTACCGTTAACGAAGGTTAACGGATGTAATCTTCAACCAGGCTCTGACCAAATGCTTCTAGCTGCCGATCACAACAGTCATCATCAATCAATGATAACATGCCTTGAAACCAATAACTGTGGCCTTACTCTTTGAAGGAAATTGCTCATGGCCAAGGTTATGCGCAAATCAAGCAAAATCAAATAAAGTCAGGTTTAAAAAAGAAAAAAGAAACCTCATATAAGCCTCCAATAAAATGTAATTATTTTTGCTGCCTGTTCTTCTCTTCTGATTCACTGCCACTATGATCTACTTCCTGGACTCCAATTACAGAAGCACCGCTTCAGTAAAACAAAACTGAGAGAAAATTTAATTATTGTCTCTACACAGGTGTTTTTTCATCCTGTAGCAGAAGGCAAATATCCATTTTGAAAAACAATAATATAAATCTTTGCATCTGTTCTTTTGCAAGTGTTACATTTAAAAAAAAAGAATGCAGTCAGGTAACAGGACTATTGTTTCATTTTGAAGGTTTGAGTCTATAGTTGAGCAGGGTTCAGTGCTGAAAGAGAGCACTGTGACCTCTATCATGAAGCTGCCTACTGCTATGGCTTATCTGATTGGGGAACGCTGATAATGTGGACAAAATCGACTGCAGGAGATAGGGCTTACATTCCAGGCCAGTGTGGCACCTCCAGTTATTACCAGGAAAGTGTTGTGTGAGTATTTTTAACTGGATTATGTACAACAGGGCCAATCTTGCCTTAAAGCACCTGATGCTCAGTCTGTCCTTAAAATCAAAAGTGACTTTCCTTTGACCGTGGCTGTTGAAAGAATATCAGTGGTAATCCTCTCCAGCCAGACGTCAAGTCTGCTTACAATCCACTCCAATTAATTAGTCCAGTATTGTACCTCATACACAAGTGATGGTGGAGGGAGGAGGCGGAGGGCGGGGGGTGCTCTGGGGTTGTATTATCAGGCCAAACTATTCTTGCTTTTCCCAGCCTGCTTACAGAATGGGAGTCTCTAGACTCTAACCAACTCCAGATGGTTTTAATTTTCTGTGTATAGATTTTTATTTATAGAGACCTCGCGCAGCAGGAGACCACCAGAAAACCCTACGCCTTAATAATCCCAGCTTTCTTTGGACTAAGTGACATTTTTAATAGCCTGGTCTGCGTAGATATTTTGGCATTGGATAAAAATAAATAAATAAAAACCACAATGAAACCGCATTATATATGGCCATATAAAAAATTCATGAGTCATATTTAAAGCATCGTGGTAATGGTGTTTTATATTAATGACAATTATATGCATTATTATGTCTGGTTTATTTACGCATATAGCGGTGCGGCTGGGGGAGGCTTTGTTAGATTGCTGTAGAGAAAAAACAAACACGGAGCAGTCGTTGGGAAAAAAGAAGTAGAAGAATGTTTTGAATCTGTTTTCCTTTCTAATTAAGCATTCAGAAGATAAACGCCAAACAGAAGTGGGAGGAAAAAAAAATTCTTTAAGTGCTGTTGGTAAAAGAGACAGGAGGAGGGTGGGGAGAAAGATGCGGGGAGGGAGTGAGTCTAAGAATACAAGACAACAAAGAAGTGTCTTGTCATTCTTGTCCTTATCTTCCCTTCATAACCTTATCTGACTCGTGTTGCAGATTCCCCAATTCATCCTGGCTTATTCTGTTTTCAATAGCCTGCTGCTCATGGCTGTGAGTGTCAGTGTTGCAGGAGGACTGCAACAAAGAGCTGTGTTTATTTCGTTATTCTCGTTCCATGTCACAATGCAGAATTTCCTTAGAGACTCCGGCTGATTGTTACACTCATGTCAATCAGGAGCAGAAAACTCACGTCATGCAGCCACAGTGGCGTTCTTTTTATTATACTATTTTCTGTGGTATTCATCACCGTTTCTAAAAATATTTTCTTATTGTTTGACAGCTCACTGCAGCTTTATGGCTGGTGGATGTACTGTACATAAATGAGAAAGCAATCAGTCGTATTACTAACACTATGTTAGTGTCAAATGTAAAACTTTCCGAAACTGATCAAAGCAATGTCACCAATAAAGACACTATAAACAAGTCATATAAACAGTCAAAATAGTCTTACACATATATCATAAAGACAACATGCCGTCAGGTAGTCATGTAGCTTGTAGTCCATTTAAAACAAACTTATATTATTGTTTTTGTTCCCATAAACAGGGACATATCTGCTCTGACTTCAGGCAGGAAATAGAGACAAATTCAAGGAATTGCTGCAGGAGCTTTCCACCATTGATTGACCATTAGCAGAGCATTGTGTATCATGGTGTACGGAAACCACACATCAGGTAGGTTTGATAAAACATGCTGTAATGGATGGTCATGACAAATTATAAAGCTGTTATACAATTAAACCTTTAACTGTGGAGAGTATTTTGAATTTTAATATATAATTATTGTGTATTTAAAAACCTTATCTTAATCGAATTTAGATTTAAATCCCAAATCAACTGAAATCCGTCAACAGCACATTTAGAAAAACAAAATTGGTGTAAACCAACTGCTAGTCTCTTTACAACATTTTATGATTAAAAAAATAAAAAGCCAGGAAAGGTACTTGATGAACAATTCCAGACCTTTCTTTTATTCAAGCTAAATTTGAATTTAGCCCGGAGTCAAACAGGGAGAAGCTCAACCTGCGAAAGACACCTTCATGTTTAAAGTTGGTGTTTCCGTGTTTGACTGTGACTCACCGATGTCAC